GTGCAACAGCTGCAAAACTGATAAAAAAAAAAATCAGAGCACTTTGTATTAAATGCTTGTAAAATAGAGAGTAAGAATATATTTTTAAATAGAAAAAAAAATTTGTTTTTTTGTATTTCTGTTTTGTTTTCCCAATACCATTTAATTGAATCAGCCTTACAATAAAATAAATTCACCAGAACGAATTCACATGATAACATGTTTTCAGATAACATAAGTTTATCTGAATTAATCAGCATTAATTATTAAAAAATTAATTGTTAAATTTAAGCTAAAAAAAATATTTTACCACACAGTTTCCACAGAAACTGTGAAAATCTACATAATGATTATTTTTTTTATTTGGTTTAATTTGATCGAACCCGTTCTGCTGTTTTCAAACTGTTGAGATTTTTTTTTCATAATGTAAAAACATTTAAATATTTATTGGTTATATTTATAAAACATTTAAATATTGCTAATTATATTAATATATTGCTTATATATATATTTATATTGTAATATAGCAATATATTTATATTGTAACTATTTTAAATCACTTTACACAAAATATTGCATACACTCACATACATACATTTTCCTTATTGCCTTGAATTTGCAGATTGTTAATAATAATATGTATTATACTAATAATAATATGTTTTGTCAGTTAAATCCAAGAGGAATGTCATTGAAAGTAAACAATTTAACTAATTTTTGCTCTTTTATTTAATAATAATAAACAAAATTATTAATTCAAAACCAAAATAATAATAATAAAAATCACTAGATTAACTGATTATCTAAATAAGTTGCAACTCTACTGTCCTGAAGTTTTGAACATAGTAGAAGCAGCTTACATAGACTCGTCATCCCTGTAATGGACAACAGCCCTTTTTTCTCCCTCACGACCCTCCTCCTGGAACTTAAAGTACTTCTCAAAGACGGAAGCAAAGCAGTTTCTCTTGAGGATGCCTGCCTGGTGTATCATCTCCTCTTTGTTGGGTGGAAGAGCCTCCAGGTCAAAGAGCAGTGAAATATTGTACCCTTCAGGGAGGAGCAACAACAACAAACCGTCAATCCAAAATTCTTACAGTAAAAATAACAATGAAAACTGCAACCATTTGGCTTACCGTCTTCTGGTGCCACAAGGACATTTCCATAAATACGCTTCAGCAACTGAAACACAACAAATACAAATCTCTTTCATTTGTGAATAATGAATAAAAGATACTGGAAGTAAATTCGTTACGGATCATTACAAATACTTTGCAATGATGAAGAAAAAGCGGTGCATCAAGATGCATCGATAATCATTTTAGCATCACATTGCATCCCTCTGAATCATAATCAAATCGTGTGGTACCAAAACATTCCCATCCTTAGAGTACAGCTAGCATGTCACATTACAACTTCCAAAGACCTACTTCATGTCAACTATACATATATACAACGACAGGCTCTGGCTTGTTTCATTCCCGGCATTTTTCACATGCTTTGAGCGTCCTGTATTTTGTGTTTTGTCCAAGCGGCAACCTCACGCTCTCTCTTGTGAAGCCAACAAGGAAGTGACTTAAACTGTAAT